CCTCGATGTTCATGTTACCCTGATACTTTTTCAAAAATTTCGAATTTTTCAATTGCAGTGAATACCTACCGAAAGAAAAAATTGGAATTATTTAAAAAAAAAAAAAATGAATGATGGCAGGATCGAACCCTGGCCGTCTGCGTGGTAGGCAAGCACGTTACCAATTAGACAAGGTGTTATTATAAAAATAAATTTTTATTAGTAGTACATATTTTCAAATGTTTCGATTTCAAAAATGTCGAAATTTTCAATTTCACTGGATATCTTTCCGCTTTTCAAAAATTCAGTGTTTAAACGATATTTAGATTGATTAGCCAATTAAAAAAAGATAAAATTGAAATTATTTAAAAAAAAAATGAATGACGGCAGGATCAAACCCTGGTCGACTGCGTAGCAGGCAAGCACGTTACCAATTAGATAACGTGTTATTATAAAAATTGGTGTTTATTAGGAGTATATATTTTGAAAACGTTTCGTTTTCAAAAATGTTGAATTTTTCAATTTCACTGGATATTTTTTTGATTTTCAAATATTCAGTTTTTAAACGATATTTCCATTGATTAGCCATTTACAAAAAAAAATTTGCTATTTAAATCTAATTACATAGGATCACAAAAATATTTTTTTTAGTCTGGGCTAGGAAAATATGAAGAATAACAACAAAATTACCAATTGTAGATTACCTGTCGCAGGAATTCATTCGATTGGTGGAAATGCAGCTGATGGATGTACGTCGCAGCTGGTCGCAACATTGCGGTACACGACTTTAGTATTCATGCATACATGTATTCTATTAGCAGACATCACACGTACGTTGTATTATTATAATGTAATATTTATTTGACACAACTCTGACATAAATTCACGAATATGTACAAACGATCGTGTTTAATTATTGTATGCACCAGTACGTGATGTGAACTGACATTAATGTTCGATTAACGTGTGTCACCATGGCGAGAAGGATATTTTCAATTCCTCACGTTTTTCATTAAATTTCCAATATGATGAGAGAAAAGAACAAAATTTGGGTGAGTACTTATCTGCAAAATTATCCCAATCATCTCCTACATGACATGTCCCATTGCACACCCAAGAGTGCTCTCCCCATGATTAACCGTATAATTAGTAACAAATCCGCTGTTGGCAATCAACAATCCACTCTTCTCCAGTTTCAAAAACAATAAAATAGCCCAGAGTGCCAAAGCTAATGCTTTCCAAAACATAACCTCCAATCGTGAAGGTTATGTTTTGAAAAGTACTGACCATCCGAGCCACTCCACAAATAATTTATTTCCATGACTAAACCCTAAAAATTCGTTAAATAACACCCCAAGAAGTAATAATAATAAGTAATAACTCTTATTGCAGGTGTGGGTACACAAAGTGTAATAACTTCTGCCTTTGAAACTATGATATTACCTGATAGTCCTGCCCCATTGAGAAGCAAAAAGAGAAAGCGGGAAGACTAGTAGAAAAATGATTAGTACAGAAAATGGTTCGTCGGGGATAGACGAGGCTTGTGTGAAGGCTCAGAACATGATAAATCGAGTGCTGTCTGTGACGATGGATTGGAGGGATGGCGAGCCCCAGGAGTCACCATTGAGCCAGGGTCTCACGGTGAATGGACACTCTCATAGCATTCAATCTAAACTAACTAGATTATACCTTGAAGAACTGAGAAAAGCCCCCCATGCCACACCCGACTCAGTTCTGAGTAATCTAGAGAACGAGTGTGATTTGCTAGGACGACTGGTAGAGCGTGAGGGATTTCACACATTAATCGTAAATCTTTACGCTGGCAATAAGGGTTACTCCCTGGGTATCAGAAATAACGATAAACTCACGAAAAATGCCAGCAAACTTGACAAGAGTTCATTCGTCGCTGAGACCCAACTGATGGGATATGAACAGGGTGAATTTTTATCGTGCATTGATAATGGTCAGTTACCTGCAGTTCTTGCTGAACAGCTCGAGCGAAATCACTCCCATTTATTCTATGATGGTTGCATAATAGCCGAAGTACGAGATTATCGTAAAGGTTTCTGTCACAATCGAGCTGAAATTTACCATGTCCTCCTGAAACCAACAACTCAGAGCGTTTTGTCTGATGTATCCACATTAACGAACGATGGTGAATGGAGTCACGAGGAACGCCTTATCCTAGAGTCACGTTTAATAGCAGCAACCCAGGGCCCACTTTGTCTAGATCCAAATCCAGTTGGTGCACTTGCATCGACACGTCTTCGTCACAATCGTTCTCTGCTCACTGATACCCAGCTTGTGCGTCAGGCCAAGAAATATTCTCAAGTGACAGTCAATAGAAAACGAAAACTCGAACAATTATTGCAAGTATCGGAATTCAACTCAAGTGGTGATTCGGTTATCGATAGTATCGGTGAGAACAGCATCTCGAATAGTTACAAGGGTAGTAGCAATAGCAGTGACGATAACAGTAGTAGAAATACAATGAATCACAATAGTAGTAGCAGTAATAAGACGTGCAGTGGAAATGGATATGTTACGATTCAACAGCTCCAGGAGCGAGTACGTGCCAAGAGGATTCAAGGAGGCCAAGGAGGACCAGGACAATCTTCGTCGGTAATCACTGCCTGCCCACCCCCTTCACTGCAGAATCCCCCACTTTTACCTCCAAATACACCAGTTGATGTTCTGAATTATGCTAAAGCATATGAGAGACCTCGGGAAACTAAAGACTGCCTGGCCCAATTAATTGAGGAATATATACTTGAGACTGAGCGTGGCCAGGGGCGCATTTATCATATTAAATTATCTATCCTCCAGAGGCCATCGAATTCCGAATATTTGGGGGAGTTGTACGTCGATCGGGATTACCGTGAGGGCGAGAGAAATGGCTCGTCATGTAGATTTACCCTGGGCACTAGAGTCCAAGCGAATCATTATATGCAGCAGTTCACTGAGATATTCACAGAAGAGGGTAGAAAAAACGTTAGGATAAAACACGTTGTGCCAGGTCAGGCACCTAGAGTGACGTGCACACCTGGAATGCAGAGGGCCCAACAGCAGCAGGCACAGCAATTGGCAATTGCTCAACAATTCCAGCAGCAAATACTCTCTAGAGCCCAGACTCAGATAGCAATTAACAATGCTCCTACGATAACAAAGCCCCCTCTCACGCAAGAGAGAGTGCCAGCAAATTGCCAAGGCGAGGGAATTAATCAATCGCTACCATCACAACTGCAAACTATTAAATCTGAGCCGATTGTTCAGTCACTTCCCAATGGTCTAGCAAGTGCTCTAGGTGCAGCAGCAGCAGCAGCAGCAGCAGCGCAAATTGATGCCACTTGTGCCACTACTGCACCACCACCCGCTCCATCAATTTCAAGTGGTTCTGTCACATCCCAGTGTCTCACATCACTACCCACCGATTCGGCTCCTATGAATTCCATCAATACCCCTGGTATTCTCGTTTTTCAACAAAAATCCTGTACCCCAGCTGTTAATAATGTCTCTCAGTCTACTAATGTACCTGTTCTCCAAGCCCAACTTCAAGCGACAGCTCAAAATACAATTACCTCGGAGTCGGCCAGTCAGCCGGAAATAACATTCAAAAAACACTCGACAAATCCAGCGATCAGTGCTCTAGTAACATCACTTATGAATTCGGCACAGCAATTTCAGCAGCAGGCTGCTGCCAATGCAGCTGCTGCAGCGTTGAGCAGTGCCAGTCAATCCCAATCACAGACACCCTCGCAATCCCAAACTCAGATACAAGTGCCCTCGCAAAATCAGTCGCCAACTCAAACGCAACAGCAAGCACAAACAGCATCAACCAAAACTAATAATGCCGCCATTCTAAGTCTCTTGAACAGTAGTCCTGCTAATTCACTTCAACAGAAGAATCAAGGGACTCGACGGATTTCCCTCAATGCCTCCATTCCACCGAGAGTCATTGGCCATGGAAATGTTATAACTGTTCCCAATACAACAGGCCAGGTAAATTCATTCTACTTATCATTCATGATTTTAATATATAATAAATTCAAAGAAGAATCAGTAGAAAAATAAAACAGTAACTCTCACTCTTTTGTGATTATTCATCGCTGGTTTCTCGATTTTGACAGTCAATGTTAATATGTTAATTTTCATTCTATTCTCAGGTTCGAGTGAGTTTCGGTTCGGCCTTGACGAGTCAATTGACTGGTAAGCAGCAATCAGTCAAGGCGACAGCGGTGCGATTAGCCAGGGTGCAGGACAGTACTTCCACCCTCGGACTCTCGATGCCAGGGCTTTCTGCTCTTCTAGCTGGTGATTACCCATCCGTTGCTTCGATCTCCATAATCAATGACTTGCATAATTTTGAAATGACAATTTTCAGGCACTCCGTCGGCGGATAATCCCATTCCTGGTATCAATACAGCTTCGACTCTTTTAGAGAGGTTAACAGCCTCCTCGAATCATGGCAGTCAACCAGCTAGCCCCATGCCAAGCCCCTCACCCACAAATGTCAGTCTCCAGGGAGTTAATCTTACTAATTTACCCGGCTCCATAAATGGTCTCCAAAATGTCCAGGTGAATTTTTTAATTTCGATGTCTCGCTGGAAGATACGTAACAGATCACGAAAAAAATCAGTATTTTTTTTGTCAATTTTCTAAATTTATTGAATAATTCTAGGTATCGTTCCCTGGATTATCCCAGTCTATTACAATGCCATTGAATGTATCTGCTGCAACAGCCTCAGTCACTCCCACAGGAGTAATTGTATCGTTGCCCATTTCATCTGGGAGCAATATCTGCACAACTGTCTCGAGCGTAAGATTTTTTCCAAACCACTTACATATCATTTAGTTTTTTAATTAATCCTCGTCGTCATTATCGTCACAGATGATTAACGCAACAGTTGTGACGACCGCAGTTGCTGGCACAACTCCAACGGTGGTAATAGCTAATCCTGCGAATACTCATTTATCCCTGCCAATTGCTCAGATCATACCTTCAGGTGTCAAGGGTTTGACCCAGCAAACTCAAAATATACGAAATACAAATACGGTGGCTTTATCTCAGGTAATTATTCCATATGTGTACAATTCTCGGTCAATTTATACATTCCTTTATCACAACTTCAAATTGAATTAGTTATATTAAATCCCCAGTCGATTTTTTGTGTTGAAAACAATTTAGCTGATATACAAAATAATAATTATAGTTTTATTATTAGAATATTATAGTTTATAAAATAATTGGACGTTAATATTGCAGAGTGGACAGGCGATACAGCTAGTGGGTTCCCATCGGCCACGTCTCAATCAAATAACTCGAAAAGCACAACCGAATCAAGTCACCTCCGCTGTTCTCCCTAATCAGCTCGTCACCGTAGCCAAAACAGTTACCGCAAGTCAACTCATCTTGTCGGGTAATAAACAAGTGTTAACGCCGATAATGGGTAAGCCTTCGAACTAGTAATCAAATCAGTGTTTAATTGATGAAACTTTTCAAGTCGACTACTGCACGACCTGGTCTCCCAATATTAAGTTTATGCGAATTTCTCTTCGTGGAGTGTAAATTGACTTGAAGAGTTTTACCGTCAATGCCACTGTGAAAATTTGTTTGATAAAATTAATTAATTAATTAATTTTTCTGTTTTCTGAAGCTACAACGAAGCCTCTACTCATGGCAACGCAAGCGAATCAGGCTATTCAAGCAACACCGTCTTCCCAAACAGTACCTGGAAACAAACATGCTCTTTTGACGAAATCATTGCACGCAAGAGCCAGTGCAACTGGTCAAATTGCTTCCCAGACTCAGGGGATAGGTGTGACCAGCTTATCACAGCAACAGGTAATTTTCAACTTTATTCCATTCGTCGTCTCCTACCCAAAATCATCGCCCAAAGATTCTTATACCAGGGTTATATCTGTTCTCCAGCTCCAGCAACTCCAGCAGTGCTTGGTTGCTCAACAAAAAGCAACAGCAGTTGCTGCTAGTAATTCACCGAATCGAAGTCAAATTCAACCCAGAGGGACTGTACCTCCGTCTGCTGACGAGTCTCTGTGAGCTTCCTAAAGTTCCTTTATTCTCTTGCCTCCGGAACATGGTTAATTATCATTTCAATCATGCTGCAAAACATCTCTCCTTTTACATCTCACGATGTCAGTAGTGAATTGAGAGGGAAATTCAAGTCAGTAGTTTCAAACAGCTCCTAAAAGCTTCTAGTCAAGTTTCTGTTGAGTACGTCAGGATCTATGAGAGAGTTCCACTCCCTTGATCTCGATTTTTCGCCCCGGAAGATAAAAAATCTCCCTAAAAATATCTCACCAACTCCCTGTGATCCTGAATCAACAACTGAACTGGCTCCAGAATAAAATTGACACAGACAATTCACTCACTTCACTATTAACCTCATGACGATGATAATCCGTCTTTCTCTGAACCCATCTCAATTACAAAATTAGTGGGAAAGCCTCGCTCGTTCGGGATGTCCCCTCACCAAATATATAACGAAAAGAACAAAACAGACGGAATTGCGAGTATTATATTGTAGAATAGAGAGCATTACTATTAGATCTGCAACGGAAAGTTTAAATTATTGTACGCATCCACCACCATATCGTACGTACTTACGATATTCTATAATTATTATATATTATATATTAATGATTCGTTTTATATGAAAGATTAAATGACAAGAAATTAAAGATGAATAAATCATTATAAATATAAAGACTTTTATTATCATTATTGTAGTATCACAAATATAAAGCCTCATTTCATTTTGTTCATCTTATTCAAACGTCATGACATCGACAGCTGTTCTCGATAAAATGTGTCATGAATTATTGTGAACAAGTCGTCCGAGGTATTCCCCTGTCCTCTTGAAAAACTAATGTAGATGAGTAGACAATTGAAGTGCAATGACTCTCTCATCAATCATTGCTCTTGCATTCTATGTTACAAGAATTACAGATATTATTCGTCATTATCGTGTACATCAAAAATAGAGCAGTTGAAAATCGAGGAATCCAGTATTTCAGTGCAATACTTGAAATATGTGCGTTATTCGTTATTTATCGTTGGAGTTATTCATTTATCATGGCCATTTTTTCATCAGTACCGTCACGCCAGCATTCAGATCCAGCTGCATGCAAAGTAAAGATCCGAGTCGACGTGCTGTCCCACGCAGAAAAATCTATGCTTTGGGCCAATTCTATACTTTTCAAAATATATTCTCCAGTGTGTATTTGCACCAGTATTAAATATACGTTATATATTTGAAGATACGTCTCTCGAAATCCATTTTTCCATGAGTTGATATTTTCTTGCAACCGTATCGTGCTAATTCAGTAAGAGAATACTTTCGGTTTTTCCGGGGTCGTTAATATCGTCCTCCCCTGACTGACACTCTGATTTTTCTCGTTATTTTAACGATCTCAATGAATAGGGGAATTCACTGAGTCGGTTGATCAACTTCGGGTCTGGAATCCGATGTAGAACAGGTACTTGAAGTGGCGGCTGCAATTGCTGGAAGAGACGGTGTCCACTCGCTCTCTGGATCCGAAAAAACTGTGGTTTCGTCTATGGAGGCCTCGGAGACGGTGTCAAGACTAGTTTCTGGATTTTCTTCCTCCTCGTGGGGATGACACGAGTGTGCGTTTGACGTTAATACCTCGTTGTTGAAGTAATCAACTGTTGTGAATAGTTAATTGTTACGAGGGAGTAATTAAAAAATTAATTACTTTGTCAATTGTCGATACTCACTCACCATCGATAAGGCTGTGTTTTGTGAGCCATGCAGGCTCATCCCAGGGAATCTCGTCGTAAGTCGGTCGTTGTTTGCTCGAAATAGTTGCGTCGGTGACTGATTTCTCTGGGATGTCAAAAATCTCTGTCCTCTGGATTTTTTTATTCTCATCCATGTAGTAATAAGCCATTAGTGCTTCTTGGTCGGATGTCACTTGCAGGATATTATCGAAGGGCTCGTCAATTGATGGAAATTCGTTCATGTTTATTATGCAACTTGATTTGTGAAGATTCTGCTGCCACAACCTGAAGGTGAAATGAAATTTAAAAATTGATCCTCGTTTGTATGGAAATAAATGAGAATAATGATAGTCCTTTAAATCTTGTCTTTGAATTTCTTACATGTCATCATACTGCAGAACCAAATTGAGATCTGTGTCTTGTTTTACGTCTGATTCATTTGAATCATCTACGGATTTTTTCCCATGAATCGCTGTAAAATGAGGGCAATTGAGAATATTTGTACGAAATGGAAAGAAATTTTTAATTAAAGTCATCAGTACTAAAACATTTTTTAATGTTCCATGACTGCCATTATACTCACAGGAATCATAATCTGCTATCGTCCATTGGTAGCCAATCGTTTCTGGAATTCTGACATTATAAATATTCATTTTTGAAATAATCAAAAATATCTGTTCCGCCAAATATTTTGTTATTTCCATCAATTCACTGTGCAATTTCGGGCGATTAATCATAATTCTGAAAAATTATTAAATTTATTAAAATCAGCTTTATAAGTTAATAAAAGATTTAAATAAAGATAATTTTAGTAGATCAAAAATTAAAAAATGCATTCATACTTATTGAGAGTTGCACAGACGACATCTAAAGGCAGAGTGTAAGGAAGACTGAGGAATGACAGCAATTTGATGCTTTTGTGCTTAAATAACCAATTCATAATGCCTTTATTCGCCGAATCAATAGCATCTTGGAATATAGTCATGACTGTCTCGGGTAAATTGGCTACTAGTGCTTCCTATTAACAAAATCAATGCTTAAAATAAAAAAATATATGCATGGGGGAGTCATGTTCGTTGACTCACCTGACGGTGAATTTTACACTCTTTACACTCGGGGTCGTATTCCACATTATCGTCAAGGGTTTCTGAAACTACAAAAGTCGACTGAACAGCTAGACAGCGCGTACAATTGATCAAGTTATTTCTCTGCAAAAATCGGAGGGCGTCATCGAATCCTTGTTTACACATATTCGAGAGTATCTGCAAAAAAAAAGTCAGAATAAATTTAATTTCACACGAATTCGATGAATAAAGAAATTGAAAAGCAATTTTTGAAATTAGTCATTTGAATTTGAAATATCATTCACCTCTGGATTTGGAGGGAAGAGTATTCTCGCAAATCTGTAAATATTCTGCCGAGATAATTCGATGCTGGTATTTGATAAATTAACATGAAACAACTGAGACGAAATGTCTCGTGGACAAATATCGCTTTCACCACAGAAAGGGCTAATTGTTATCGTATTTTCGTCCAATGTCGGTAAATTATCGCTGAAACCCCCATCCATATAGCGAATTCCGCGGAATCTCGGGGGTAAAAGTCCCGAAAACAGTGGAACAAATGAACTAGCGAGCAAAGCCTGAAACAGCAAAAACCATTACTTCCTCTCATTGATTGTAATTAAATTAATTCAATTATCATTCAACAATTGAAAAATTTCATTGGAAAATATTACCTGTAATAAATCCTCGCGTGAATTAAATTGCGACACGATCACATTTTTTCCGTCATAAACTCGTGTCAGGGAGACGTGTAATTTCCCACTGACTCGGATATGTGCATCATTTGGGAGATACTGAAATTCATTTTAATATTTATTGCATTCGTTTGAAGACTGAATGATTGACTCTAGGTGAATTTTACCTTTTGCATACTCTCCAGTAAAATAGTTTGCACATTGAATGAGGGACTGAAGGGCCCAAGTGCTTTCTTTCTCGCTTCTTTGGCTAATTTCAGAAGATCACTCGTGAATGTTCCTGAAAGAGAAAATAAATCTCATGCTGAATACGTGGGAATTGCAAGCCCTGAGGCGTGTAATTCATTATATTTCTTTCAATAATTAAAGAAAGTCATAAATAATCGCTGCTATCAGAAATTACAAGCAGCAATTCAAGTTCATTTCAAAATCGATGTAATTACGATAATGCAATTCTCCCTCTATTGAGATAAGAAATTCCAATTAATTATCTTTGTCAAGAGTGAACTAGAGTTATAAATACCATAGCTCAACGCTCTTGTAAAGCAATTGAATTTCAATTAAACGCTTAATGCTGCAGTAATTATTGATTGAGTCGTGTAAGTGAATCAATAAATAATTCAACAACTAACAATTACATATCAATTAATTATTTCTTCTTTGATTTTAACGATTTATGTAAGAATTCACGTGCAAAAATATTCGAGTTCATTATAATTATCTAAATCAGCGATAAGTAATCAAAAGAGATATTTTTATCAACCTGTTGGTATCAAATTGTATATTCGAGTGAATAAATCGAATCGACTGTAATCAGGAGAATAATCCAGGGGTGACCAACCGACAAAGACAATCTGAATAAAATAAATCCGCAAATAGCACAAAAGAACAAAGAACTTTGATCAATACGATGATTCGTCAGTTATTGGGCCCTTTCTAAGCTTGACCCACTTATCACCCCGAGATTAATGAATACCACAAATATGTAATACATAACTTGACGTTGTATGCATCATTACCACATATGTACATCATATCACTCATCCAAGAGAATGAAAAATTCCTTTGTGCATATCACGAGAGCAAATAATCCCAATAGAATTTAGTAAACACACTACAATGACTCATTGCGAGTAAACAAAGAATAAATAACAAGCAAGTTCACTCACCGAGGGGTAAATCACAAAGAAGACAACAGGCAGCCATAGCTCCAGCCGAAGCTCCACTTATTTTATCTAACAGCAGATGTGGAGCATATTTTTTGAAACAAACAGCAACACCAACATGATAAATCCCCAGGAATCCACAGCCAGCAAATGATAGATTCATTATTGTACTGTAGCTCCTTTGAGCTCTTCTCCTTGAGTATTTCGAATGTTTTATTTTACGATTTGTCGAAGAACACCAGTGTAATTCTGCAAATAGAACAATTTCCCTTGAATGAAGATTTATTGTGACGTAATGTGGAATGTGTAGAGTAATCTTAATTGTCCTGTCGATCCTAACCTCGGTTTCGTTTTGACAGTTGCTCAGATGTTCGAGGGGCTCAGTGGCTCGTCGATGATAGCATTATTACTAATGACATTTACGATGATAAACTCGTGTTTATATGCTATCTACACGATCGTCGATACGCAATAACTGATAAATTGGAAATGAATACACTGGAATGATTAGAGCTAGCGCTGTCCGATGGTTAACGATTGACGTTGAAAATCACACTGAGAGATATTTAACAATTCAGTCGTCTAAAGCCACTCAAGGTTCTCCGATCGTACCACATCGTATCAGTGAAGCTAAATAATCATAATAAAAAATAGTATGACTGCCGATTGTGTGGCATAATAGTTTTGCTATCGACTATTCTGACGTGGGTAGATTTTTTTCCCAACGGTTATGGCCATGTGCGTAAAAAAATATTCTACATCTTGTTATTATTGATAAGAGAGGTTATGGGTTTTTTCATTTATTAATGTATATGAACTCACGAGAAATATTCACTCGATCGAGATAATTCAACAGTTGGGAATAATGAACTGTTGTTCCGTTGGGATTATTGAATTTCTTTCAAAATCCGCGTCATCCATCATTATGGAGATATTTTGATAAGGCTGCAGACAATGATTACTGATAATGTGGCGAAAAGATTGTGTTCAGGGTTTATTCTTGTACGGAAATTCAAATGATTTTAGGGATTTATGAATATATTTACCTAGATATGTTGTTTTTGGAATTTCTTTTCGATGGAATGCAGGGGAGGGGCTGATGGAAACTTTTGACTTTCTTTGAAGTGACGATGAGTCAGTGAATTCTTTTTTAAATTACATTAGTATTTTTTTCTGGAAATTTCAATATCAAATGTTTTTAGGGATTAAAATTTGGCTACGGGAAGTATTTTTATGATAGGGGTATTAAAAATTTTATTCGATTTTTGATCTTCTGTTTGATTATTATTTTGTCGTACAGCTGGCAGGATTTTTTTTGTAATGAGGTAATTACGTAGCGGGAAATTCTGGAAACATTTGGACGTAGCGGAAACATCTGGAGAAAGAATGTTAAGACGGAGGAATTTTTAGAGATTTCTCGCTGGTTCTCAAACATTCCTGACTTGTACCGGAATTCTGATTTCTTATCGATGATAAGGATTATGATTTTCAATTGATAGTGGTTTATAATTTTATTGGTAGTTTATAAAAATATGTTCTGTAATTATTCCGCTGTTATAACAGCGGAGTTGGAAAGTGGAATTTCGAGCACTTGACTTATTTGGATTTCCCGCTGCTCCATTAAATCGGATAATTTCTCAAGTTTCTTCTCCAGGAGTACATTTTTTAAACTAGTTTTCTGCTGAAGTTCCAAAATCGACGAGACAAATCTCGAGTGCAATTCGTCGCGTTCACCTTGACACTTTTCAAATCTCAATTCCAGCACTTCATTTTCCCATTTCAAGTTCTCGTAATCCTTAGAGATCGAAGTGAGTCTTCTTTTTGTATTCTGTATCAACAGGAAAGGTCATTGAAAATCAGAGAAAAAAGTTAAATGAAAAAAACAATTCACCAGAGAAGATATAAAACGAATCGACGCGTGCTGACAATTTTTTTCCAATCAGACGAGAGAAATAAATAAGATAGCGACAAACATCCCATTATCTCTTACAACTTACTATTAAACACGATTTATCTTTCTCATAGTTTGTCAACTGTCGAGTCAAATCTGCGACTTGTTCTTCACATTCTTTCAAACTCGTTGATAATCTCTTATTCTCTGTGACCGATTCTCGAACTTGTTTCTTCATGCGTTCTTCATGATTTTTCATTACCTCCATTTGATCCTTCAAGAAATCATGATAAATAAACACAACAATACAATAGCTTCCATGAATAATAATACCTTCAGACTTTGCATGAGTGACAAATTATTCAACGTAATATCGTTGTAATACGACTTGATATTCGCAAACGCCTTTTCATGCTCTTTAATTAAATTCGATATCTGCATATTCTTTCTTTCCTCCACTTCCGTTATCTCCATGCGATGCTTCAGAATTAATGACTCGTATTGTGTCATTAATTTTTCTTCATATTTTTTCTCAAGTTCCATAGCTTCACATTGAAATTTCTTCATCAAAGCACTGGTTTCCTCAGCATTTTTCTATGAAAGTCAAATAAAAAAGTCGATTCCCAATATCACTCTCAAAATAACTCCATAATCTCTCTCACCAGCTTAATGTCCCGAATCTGATTGATACAATTAAGTTCCTGATTCTTCTGGATCTTTCGCAATTCGCCTTTATCCTTTATGAGTTGCTTCTCCTCATCATTATGATTATCCTGAGAAATTTTGAGAGCAACCATGTGCTCTGCTTTGGTCTCCGACAAATTGGTCTCATGTTCGTACATCAGGTGTTTGATTTTCTGTTTATACAATTTAATTTCCGCCTCATGTTTCTCCGTCAACTCCTCCTTCTCCCTCTCCTTATTCCTGCATTAATTTAAGGAATTACCCCACGTTAATAAAATTCGTACACGATTCCCTGTACCTGACAGCAGCTCTCGCCTCATCTAATTGATGTCTCGTGATTTCCCAAAAAGTGCGCAATTTATCCCTTTCAAGTTGAAAAAAATTTCGTTCCTCCCGCTCTCTCTCCATTTCTTCCAGAATTTTATGAGAGTACAACTCAAGCTGTTCTCGACTCATTTTCGATGTATCAACGCCGTCTACAGAGTCCATTGTCTTTCCCTTTGCTTTTTTTGGTCCCTGAAAATAATTTTTTTATCACACTCATTAATTTAATTCACAGCATAACGTCAGCTCTTAGCAGATTATTAAACTTACCATATTTGCACTGTTACCCTCACGCGGCTATTTACCTAAATAATTTATTTAACCGATTCAGATTTTAAACTGAATTTTTTAATAAAATTCACTGGAGTCGTGGGTTAAAATGAAAAGGTTATCACAGATGGTTGGGCGGAGTAATTATGTATTGCAACTGTTGCTAGGCAACAATGCAACCCGAATGAAATAATATTTGAATTATTACCTCGAATCGTAAGAGCTAAGGTAATTTAATTGATGATGACTACACTACAGAGTAAGAAAGTCAATAAATAAAAGGACCATGTGTACAAACTTTATTTCTCTCCATGAAATTTTAAAACATGCAAAAATGTTCTAATAAGCATAACAGAATTACAATTAACGTTCAAAGAAATTAGTACAAGTACAGTGTCATTTCTTTTTCCTCAATTTCAATATTTTTATTTTATCAGTGAAACCGCTTAATATTTTGTGCCCTCAATGTAAAATATCACAATGCTAATAATCATTCACCTGCAATGTTTCACTCTGTATCTTCATCTGCTCTTTGTTTGTAAGAGTTTTTGTGGACATATTTATAATAGATATGATAAATTAACAGGAAATAAATAACTGCCATTGAAAAACCGCGGAGGACACTCAATTAACAAATTAAAGTGGAATGCTAAACGTAATTATTGTAAAATAATATTCCATTAGATCTGACTACATTCATTATTGAATTGCAAAAGACATCCTACAGCACCAAAATATCCCTTGAACAAACAAAAATATGGAATGCAGTATTAATAATTTATTTTTCCAAATATTATCGTTGTGTACAAATAAATAATTACCTCGTGTTCTAAAAATAGTGCTTTCATAGTGCCATTCGACCAGTAATCCATGGCATAAGCTAATAATTTCATGGATATGGGATTGACTCTCAAAAAGTTGCCAACGAATACCACCTGCACATGAAAATAGTGCATAAATAAATAAACAACACATAAACTGAGTCGCTAGCAATGAGAAAAAACGGTTCAAGTCGCAATGCCCCAATTGTTCAAAATACAGTATAGAATTTCGTTATAGGCGCACCTCTCCTCAATTTTTGTTTTCGTGTATCTTTTGGTTACCCAAATCTATTACCCTCGGGCTACAAGATGTAGACAATCCGTTATTTCATTCGTTCAGGAATTGAATTCGGAGGAAAACAAAGCCGAAAAATAAAATTCACTCATATTTGAACTATTCCCGTATCGAATAGAAAGCCCCAAAAAAATTCGATAATTGAACAACAATTGAATTGATTGACTATTCTATCGTGAATATCTCTGGATAAAATTGACGAGAACAGTTTTTCCTTTTCGCGGCTGTTTTTAATCTGACTTACTCTCTCGACTTTTTCATTGAGTGCGCACATGCGGGCGATCGATCCAATATTATTTGTAATTGTTACCAGAGTGGCTCGTGCTAAATCTTCCTTGCTGACGGCATTCCTGCGATCCTTCGAGTTCATTTGACCAAAACTGCACACATGGAGAAGACTTAACATACAGGGATTGAGTGTTAGAAAAGAAAAACTAAGGAGGTGTTTATTTTCCTCTCTCGCAGGAGCACATCAAGAAAAAAATTCATTCTGCCAATTCAATTTACGAATTATCATTTCATAAGAGTTTCACATTTTAATAGAAAAAAAATTACACAGGTTTAGTTGCAACGGGTGAATTCAGAGGCAGTCATTATTTTCTCAGTGTAAATGATTGAGAGGGGAAAAAAGGTAGAAAGCAGGAAAAAGAAAGAAAAAATTGAAGGCATGGGAATCTACGGTGTAGAAAGCATGTGATCGAAGATAATGATTACCTGCTGGCCACCAAGTCCCCGGGAAGACCAAAACGTCCGTAATCACCGCCATAAATATCCTTAACTAATTTATCAACACGTGTGTTATCACCTCCAGTTGCGAGCTGAATAGCTTCCTCAAAGCTATTGCAGCCAGTGAGAAGGCAACACAACCCGAGAAAAGTTCCACCACCCAAACTCGTTCCTGATATTCTTTTGTAGTTATTTGGACCATAGACTACTAAAATGCTCACTCCAGATCCTATATTAACGAGCTACAAGCGAAAGGATTATGAATTTAATCAATTAAAAATAATTGTCAATATTTAATAACGACGAAAGCCTCACCAAGAATGGATAAGGCTTGGAGAAGTCGAATGGAACTTTATGGCAGAGTTCATCCTCAGTTGGATGACTCCAGTAGTAGCACTCACGAGGATTTGTCATTTCGATATAAAGCATCCCTCGTATCAGACTATCGAGCTCATCAAATTTTGCGAGACTCATATTGACTTCCTGAAAAACATTAAATTACCCTAGTTCTGTCTTATCACACCCACGAGTACTCACTTTTTTGAAATTTTCTTCAAACTTGAAAGCACCACCGCCTGTGGCACAGACTGTCGTCACCAGATTAGCCATCCCCTTTGATTTAGCAAGTGCCAAAAAATTTCCCATTTCACTGGTTGGGAATCTGATAAAATGCAGTGTTCCCCTCCTTCCTCGAATTTCGATGCTGTCCATCTGAAGTAAATTACATTATAACTTTTATTCAAAATAAATTATACATTTATTTATTAATTTGTGTTAAATCAGAGTGTCAGCTTAAGCGGCATCAATTACTCTTTTAAATTCAGGGAATTTTCTACCTGGAGATGTGTATCCCGATGTCCGGTTTTTCCATAAGCTGAATTTTTAGTCAGATATCTTCTTATATTTTTCAAAGTCTCAAGCTCAGCGTCCGCCTCATCTCTCGTAATATCTTTTGGTTCAAAATAGACCAATTTGCATAAAGAGCCACCGATATCCATCCCAAACCAGGGCATCGCTGCATAATGAAAGGAAATAAAACGATAAATCAATAATTAAGAAGTGTCATTGGATGGGTGCAAATATAAAAGCATAAAATGATACTGAAAAGGGAAAGATAGTGATGAAAGCAGTTGCTTAGAGATCTATAACCGAAACCCAATGGATTAAAAAATTAATAAATGATAAGCAATATACTTCAACTAATCTAAGCACACATACAGTTCACAGACTCACAGGGTGGTGAGTGAAAATCATCGGATTGCGATGCAGAAGGTGGATAGCCATTTGCTGCCATGACTGCGTCTAGACTGTCTACATCAGGTTTACAACTGTGAGGACTCATAGTTCAACCCCAATTTCCTCATTATTTCATTCTCAGGTGCAATAATCCTTGTTTCCTTCTGTAATAAAACTGAATATATTCCCACTTTGTTTAAACTTCACGATTCATGACAGAACAGCCCGCACACAGACCAGAAAAAATATTTGTAACCGAACGTGTTAAAGTTGAAATAAATACAGCTCTCTAATTTCTTCGTTCTCCTGTTATTTCCTTCTGTTTCAGGGCCGATTGTACCGTTGATCTTTGGTAAATAGTTTGGTGTCAAGGGTCGCTCTTAAATTATTCATATTTGAAACAGGAAGTTACGTTCAATGTCGTATAGAAGATGGAGAATAAAAAATTTTCTCAACCAAATGCGAACGGAATATCAACACATCAACCATCGGTTGACTCGATTGATCATCCAATTGTTATTGACACTTCCAGGAAACACTCTATTTTTATTCGACAATTGATGAATAGAGGAAAATTTTACACACGAGTTCACTACGACCATTTTGTACGGATGACTACAATAAAATATGCCTTGGACAGGCTGAAACATTAAAATATACCATTCTACAAAGCGATTATTCAGTGATTATTTAATGAATACTTAACGATTCGTCGCTACGATTTACAGGGCCTGCTATCATGACAATAGCACTAGCTGCTAATTACTCCTCATAATCATCGATGAACAATTGTGAATCAGCCATGAATCTATCGTTTTTTCACATTTCCATAACGCTTTCCCCCGTTTCCCGTTATTTATTCTACTTATGCTAAATAGTTTGACTTACGATTTTTTCTCTGTAAACGTACGACGTGCATCTGATGCTTTATTTTTCAGTCCACAATTGGCATGGATTTTTCAAAAATATATCTGACTACGTGTCAAAAATGTGTCAGTGACTGTCTCGATGTCAAAAGCACCCAAAGAATCTTCACAAGTCAATAGATGCATGGAGGTTATATTCTCGACACACGATGATATACTTTCAGTATTTCGCTCTTCGTTTCTTCTTTTTGCAGTAATACATATTACATTATCCGTTTCATCTGTAAAAATAATAATCAAGATCAACAATTCAAATTGCACAAGATTTTCATGGACAACTATGAGAGGTGACAACTCCTCGATTGGTTCTATTTTTGGATTAATGAGTTCACGGTTACGTCTTTAATGCTATGACTTATGCACGTATCATTAATCTTTATAAACAAATTATATTTACCGCTGGTGAATGAGAGTAGAAATGAATAAATGTAAGGCAAATCTTCCGCATGCGCAATCAGAAAAAAAAGTATACACGGAGAATATCGCGCGATCATGACCACGTGACTGATGTGCGCATGCGATTACCTTTGTACTTTTTAATTTTACATTGAAAAAAATGTTTTTAGTTGTTAATTCGTATTCCTCGAACAATCGTGTATTAAATTATCGATATTTACACGTACCAATTCTAGATACTCATGAATATTTAAACGTATTGCATTGACATGTCCGTTACCAATTTCCTCGTTGATTGTTAATGATTTTATTCCATGTAATGCATATTATATAATCTCTCAATGATAAAAAGAGGCAGTGTAAAAAACCCAACAGCTGGACATAAAAGACTTGGATTTATCTTTCCAATGCACGAAAAATATTGAAGAGTGGAGAATTAATTCTGTCGGGGCGCCATGAAAACAGAAAATATTTTTATATATTAATCAACCTACTTGTTTTTTCGAATTTTTCTCTCAGAGATAAACCCCCCTCGCCGATTTATCGGTATTTCACAGATAGTTCTGCGAATTGCACACGAGAATTTCCGAGAACTACTGGCAATTGAATAAAACGTGAGTCCATTATATGAACCCATCAATTGCTATATCCTTATTGAGTATTAGTCATCTAAATGTCGGCGGTATATGTTATGTAATTTCATAATGACAGAAAGAGGAAGTGGATGAGCAAGAAATACACGCGGGAATTAAAAACTTGTGTTTATTTGCCCAAAGGTATAAAAAATATTGATGCCTAATTATTACAGCACCACATGAAGGCATTATTGAATATTTTATACCAAGGTGAGGTGGTATTGGTCCAGGAAGGAGGAGTGTAGGGCCACTGCCACATTTCAGTGCATCTCTCAGGATGTGGCATCAAGGCCAAATGTCTTCCATCTAAAGAGCATATGGCCGCAATGCCCTCGACACTTCCATTTGGATTGAATGGATAAATTTCCGTGGGTTCGCCGTCATCATCGACGTACTTTATTGGTAGACATTGGTTTTCTCTGAGTTCTCGAAGAATCTCATTATTGCGGAATGTAAATTTTCCTTCACCATGGGCCACCCACACCCCCATGACGGTGCCCTCCATGTCCTTGAGCATAAGTGCTGGGGATTTCTCGATCCTCACTGTCGACCATCGGCATTCAAATCTCTCCGACGCATTGTGGTCCAGCACCACGTGGGGCTCATTCTTCGATGAATTAGGTGAGCTGATCCATCCCAGGAGACTCATCAGCTGGCACCCGTTGCACACTCCCAAGCTGAATGTGTCCTGGCGAGCTACGAATGCATCAAGTTGCTGACGAACTCGAGGTTGGAATAATAAAGAAGCTGCCCAACCCCTTGCTGAACCTAGAACATCGGCGTAGCTGAATCCACCAGGAAATACGATACCTCTGAATCTGTCCAGAGTAATTTTATCCCCCAGGAGATCCTGCATCGTGACGTCCCAAACTTCGAAGTTAGCCAGTGTCAGAGCCGCTGCCATTTCTCTGTCACCGTTTATTCCTTCCTCTCGAACGACGCCTACTCTTATTCTAGATGTGAGAATCGATGACTGCGGCAAGGGCAATCCATCCGGATTGAATGGCAGCTTGTACTTCGGAACCTTTCGATTCTTCAGGGAATTGAACTCATCCTCAGCGCATTTGATATTAGTCTGACGTCTTTCGAGTTGATAACTCGTTTCTTCCCAGATAGACATCATCGCAAGAACCGTTGACTTGAGGTGATTAATTCCATTGACAGACACGATAATATCAGAATCGACTCCAAGACCACAGGATACCCCTATTTTGTAAATGGGCGCGTGGAATTTCTCGAAAATGCTCACCACCTCGTTGACGTCGCTCTCACCGACTTCGAGTACCCAGCCGACTTCTTCGGCGAAAAGAACTTCAACGGGACTATAATTTCCGGATTTATGTGTGATATTGACATTCATCCCTGAAATTCCAGCGAATGACATCTCCAGGAGGCACGTGATGAGGCCACCGTCGCTGACATCATGACCAGCTAGGATTTTTTTATTGCCAATTAAAGTCTGTGTTGCCTGAAAAGCGTTGACAATTACCTGGGGGTCTTCGACGTCAGGTGTTGAATTACCGAGTTGTCCGTACACCTGAGCCAGTGATGTACCCCCAATTCTACTATGACCTTCAGATAAATCAACGAACAGCAGAGATCCGGTTTTGCCCAGGGCTGGAGATTTTATGTCTGGAGTTACGACAGCTGTGACGTTGGGGCAGGGTGCGTAGCAGGAAACAACGAGTGTGCCTGGGGATTTAACGATTTTATCACCGACTCTAGCTGCCATGCTTAGGGAATCCTTGCCCCCGTCGATAGCAACTCCCAGTTGCTTCATCAATTGACACATTGCACGACAGGCGTCATACAATCCAGCGCCTTCGCCACTGAGTTTGGCAGGCCACATCCAGTTCCCACTGCATTTGATATCCCTGATGTCACTGATCTTGGCAAATACAATATTGGTGATGGCCTCGGCGACGGTCATTCGTGCTCCAGCAGCAACATTTACCAATCCCTTGATCGGTTGTTCACCGATCGACGAGGCTATACCAGCGCTCGAGAAATGGGAAATTCCCGTGACAGCGACATCAGCCAGAGGAGTATGAAGAGGCCCCACACACTGCTGTTGAGCGACCAGTCCTGTGACACATCTGTCAACTTTATTAGTCAGATATCTCTTACTGGCAACCGAGGGCAGTCGTAGAACTCTCTCCAGGGCAGCATAGACTGTCAAACCAGTTGGGAGAATCAGGGGTTCCATCTGGAGTTTCTCTCGCTGCATTTGGAACACCTTCTGGGGCATTTTCCCAAGTATGAACTCAAGGTCGAGGTCAACGGGGTGCCTCGTCCCAGCGGAATCTTTAGTCGTGTCGAGGTATTTTTCAGGGTCCGGATTATTCTCTTCTGACAGGACAATTTTTCCAGAACCTGTGACAGTCCCTACGAAATTTATGGGACACTTTTCACGTACAGCAATTCTCTTGAGCAGATTTATGTCTTTTTTCTGACACAAAATGGCGTTGTTCTCCTGGTATTCAGCGCCCCACAGTTCCATGGTGCTGATGCTGGGATCTCCGAGTTCAAAGTTCTTGGTGAATATGACAGCTCCTGCTGGCTCAACGATCTCCTTCAAGACATTTCCATTGCCCCCAGCTCCTTGATCGTGAATACTCATGATGGGGTTGTTCTCACCCATTTCTGTGCACGCACGAACGAAACGGTTCAGCTTCTGCTCCATCTCAGCATCTCCCCTCTGGACTGCACCGTAGTCGAGTTCTGAGGCGTTATCACCCTGAACTGCGATTGAACTTGCTGAACCACCACCAACACCTATCCTGTACACTGGCCCACCGATTTTCACAACCTCCATGCCCTTTTCCGGTTTCAATTTATCGATCATATCACCATCGACTGTTCCCAATCCTCCGCTGAACATTATTGGTTTTATCCACTCTTTCCTCTCGTTTTTATCGGTCATGCCGAAAGTCCGAGCAAAGCCACAGATAACTGGCTCTCCAAATTTATTTCCATAGTCAGATGCTCCGTTGCTCGCTTCTATTATTATCTCCAAGGGGCTTGCCATGTTGTCAGGATAAATATCGTTTGCGGGAATTTCCCAGGGTAGGGGATAATCGGGAATGTGCAGATTTCCAACGGAATAACCAGCTGTTCCTGCGATATAGTAGCCGCCTCTGCCGCACCCTTGAATGTCTCGGATTCGACCTCCAGTACCGGTGGTTGCACCAGAGAATGGAGCAACTCCTGTGGGAAAATTGTGGGTCTCAGCGGTGAAAATCAGGTGTTTCTTCAGCATCTCTACGGTCAATACACTACAGGTGTCTGTTGCATTTGGCACTAATGTGTCCACGGCGAAACCTTCGATCGCGCTACTGTTGTCGGCAAATTTTATCACGTTGTTTTGGTTGGAATGACTCTGGGTATCGGTTATCAGCTCAAAAAGAGTTTTCTCCTCCTCTTTCCCATCGATAAACATCTTTCCTTTGAAGAACCAGTGGCGGCTGTGCTCGCTATTCGATTGAGCCAGATCGAAACACTCCACACTTGTTGGATTTCGTTTCAATTTATCCCGGAATAAATTCGTGTAGAAATCCAAATCCCAGTCATCGAAGGCGAGACCTGAGGACATCGTTCTTCATTACTATGACATTGCTATTCCTAATTTATTGTTTTTTAATTGAATATCAGTGAAATCATCACCGAGTCTTGAATTGACATCTTCCAGGGCAGATCTTCCATCGCGCAAAACATTCACATCGAACCAACTCTCCGGCCTAAACCCGTGATCAAATGATTGGAGTGGCTTCAGGTATCGGCACTGGGTCATTCTGTCGTGAAGAAGGCTCACAATCTGAGGAATAAATTTGTATTAATTACATTAGTTTGCATTAATTGATACATTCATTTGTATCAATTCACTCACAGCTTCTTCACATTTTTTATCTATTTTCCCATTACATCTCACGAGATATCTTGTAGCTACTTCTAGTCTGGTTATATTTTCAAGGCCAGCGGATTTACAAATCGATACTGCATTGGTTGAGAAAGGAGTAGAGAAATTCAATCTGAAAATGCCATCGATAAATTAATTAATGCAGAGATGAAGAGATGAAGAGATGAAGAAATAATTAATAAGGAGTTTTTGCAGTTGTATAAGATGGATTGAAGAATGGAATACATAATTACCTCGGTCCAATTTCGATGATTAAATCGTAATCCGATAGTTTGGAAAAATTCGAAGATCTGAGATTCTGGGATTGAAAGGGCGGACTAAGTATCCACGTGAGAATATTCCCCTCGTCCTTCGACAATTCCCCGGTGCTTTCCACATAAAAACACAATTCCGTCTCCAAAGTACTAACAAATTTGGAAACCTGAGTGACAGCATTTATTTTATTTGTTAACTGTCCCGACAATAGCCCAGGGCTCTTGTAAAATCGCTGAATTCCCATGTTCTCCACGTGGCGTTAATATTACAAGTTCACTGACTAAATATTGCAATTAGCTATAAGTAACTCGAGACGCGCACCCGCTGTTTGTTCGAACGAGCGATAGTGCGCACTCCTAATCACGTTTCCACTTGATAAACAAATATCAAGTGATGAAACGGTTGAGAGGTCACTTTTATTACGAAAAATTATTTTCCGCAATGGAAGAATGAGATATCACGAGAAACGTCAACAAATTGACAAATACCGGGGTAATCGAATTGTTTTTCTTACAATTACTTCACAACTGTTCAAATTTTTCGATATTTTTTTCGGTAAATAAGCTGGTGATTATGTAAGCGATATTTCACGGGGTACGACGCAATATGGGGTACTCAAGTATAGTAAATATCATATTTCGAATTCATGAGCGGATCTATCATATGTTTACTCCTGAATGCCCCCTATCGCTGATTTTCAAACTAAAATAAATTATTTAATAGACAAAAATTGAGTTTTTAGAATAAAACTAAAACTCATTATCGTTTTTAGATTCAGAAATATTACTCAAATCTTATTCATTTTGGAAATTGACTTGCGCCATTTATTTTTTTTTCTACCGCCTCGATTTTAAGGCCGAGGAAGAAATGTTAAAAGATCTTTTTCGTGGGAAATTCAATGATCTATAAAAAAGCCCTTCAAGATCTCCTTCTTGAATCGATATTTTTTGGGATAAATGATTTGGCCAGGCGGGTTAAAAAAATCCAGTGATTTTGTGATTTTTTGTTTATTTATTGGATAATTAAACGCTCAAGTTGCTGTTCACTTTTTCTGCGCTGCGGCAGCCTCATCCTCTCTCTGGTAGGACTGCAGAAGCTCCTGTTTCTTGGCAGCGAGTCTCTCGGCCCTGCGTTTTCTCGCCTCGCGTACTTTAGTACGACGTGCCTCAGCCTGATCTGAGAGCATCTCAGCACGTGCCTTTTCAGCCTTCTTCTTGTGGATAAATTCCATGAGGACACGCTTGTTCTTGAAGACGTTACCCTTGGCTTTCATGTACAGAGAGTGGTACAGGTGCCTGTCGATTTTCTTTGTCTCACGATATTTCTTCAGGAGACGACGAAGTACTCTCATACGTTGCACCCAGAGATCCTGCAATTAATCATTTCAAAAATCCGAAAATCAATCACCTAAATAATATTTGATAATTTTTTTATTTCTTTCCAGCGAAGTTGTGGTATTATTTTTCGACTAGCCAATATTTTTGGTAAAGCCATTACTGAAAAGATTACTAGTAATTTCTGAGGCTTGATCTTATTTTTTTTTCAGTGAAAAACGTAAGAATGAAATATTGAATTACCTTCTGGGGCGTACGCGCGTTGGCAGTACCTTTCCTCTTTCCGAAACCACAGTGACGTCCCTTCCTCCTGGCTTCCGTATTTTTACGAACACGAGCTCTAGAGTGGACTGCCACTGGCTTCTTGATGATCAAACCATCCTTGATCAGTTTACGGATATTCTGACCTGACAATTACACCCAAAAATTTATCATCTTTGCGATAGTTCATGACAAGACAGCCCATTCAAATTTTTCTTTACGACCGATTCAATGCAAAGGAATTGAATGTATTACTTCATTGAAGAAAGGGAAAATGGAGATATTTTTTATTCATAAACTCAGAATTGAATGAGCTGAACTTGTGAAAGAAGATCAACCCATATTTAACACTGGAAAATTTCCTACCACTTCTCAATCTTAACTCTTCTCAATACTTAACCGTAAAATGGAAATATATATTCATGAACTCACGAGAATTGGTATTGGCAATTTCGTTGATTTCATTGGGGTCCAGCCAAACCTTTTTGCGACCACATCGCATAACCGAGGCTGCGAGCCTCTTCTGCAGTTTCAAAGAACTGTAACAGAAAGAAAATATTACCATGAAAGTCAGATCCACAAGACAGCCAGCATGTGAATAATGAGGTTAGAATAATTTGACACTTGGCAGCCCCATACCCTCAATATCTATCCACCAGTCCCGCTCGAAATTTTCAGTGACTCCTGAAAAATCTATCGAAAGCCTCCGCAAATAATTTCCAACCCCCAAATATTATTTATTAATCATCTGACTGCTGAGACCATGTGGCCTACGTAACCCATAAATATTCACACACAAAATATCAGATCTCAAAAAACCAAAAACCGTATGAAAAAGTCTCCCAAAAATCGTAGTAAATCTAATTCCCTTGCCGAATACATTTCAGACAATTTTTTAACACCCAAAATACCAATTTTTATAGAGTAAAACGCGTACCTCATGATGGAGCCGCCGAGTCCTTTGCTGTAAAGAGAATCAAGATGGCGATTATCACGCTTCCTAATGTTTAACCCCTGGAGTCAATGCAAAACACCCACGAATTTATTTTCCACGCCCTCAAAAATTTCCCCATCTACCATCCCTTCAGTTCCAAAAATAATACCTTTTGTCAATAATTTAATCGGAAAAATTGTATGAATTCCCATTCGTAAAAGTTCAACTGACTTTCACCCGGGAAAATCGTTTGAAATCCAATCGAGACTTGAGCGCCGCTAATTCCTTGCGCACGCACACACGCAAATTCGAAATTTCCAAAAAATTATCAGGAGAGCATGAGAATCGAGCAGGTATTCACTGAAATTCGAAAATTCGAAATTGTTGAAAAAGTATCAGGAGAGCATGACAATCGAGGAGTTATTATTATATTATATTAAATCACATCAACTGAATTTTCCCGGGAAATTCATTTTAAATTCGACACTCGCGACGTCATCGCCGCGCGAGCTGGTTGCACATGCGCACAAGTACCTCCAACTCCCCAGTCATCTATCCACAAGATGTTTATTGTGCAGAGCACGTACGCGAATAGAATGAGGAGATAAATAAAAAAAAAAATCTCCAAGTACTTGACGTGCAGCATGAGAAACTCGTTTAGTGTCTGCCAGTATTCTGCCGTTAGTGGTTCGATTGGGGAGTAGTTGGCGATTTGTTATCGATTGGAAATTGACCGGTCGAGGTGATAAGGTGAAAGCAGGTGAGAGTGAGTTTTAGTGATTGGATGAATGTTGCTGAGTGATTTGTGCTCTGTTATTGTCTTTGAAGGTCTAAAATGATAACAATCAATGAGGATCTCAAGCGAGAGAGGGATAATTGTACTTTTGATCCAACGGAGCTGACCCAGACGCTAGATGGGGGTCCAGAGAAAACTGCAGCTCGCAGGGAAAGAGGTGAATTCAACTGTCACATTATTTCGTCTTCTTCGTCTCCTTCGTCCTCATCATCTTCTACTTCCCTCATTTTTTCTTGCACTGACACTCGCTTTTGCTATGGTCAGATTATTTGATGATTGTTTAGAATGTCTGGTGGTGTGTACGTCAGACAGTTGACTCATTAGTATTTCCACATTGTTCTGTGTTGGTTAATAGCACTTTCCATTATCTCATCGCGTAAATTGTTTTATCGGACCTCCCAGCGGTTGAACGAGACATTCAAAGTCTCAAGTGTGGAATAGAAAATATGTCGAGTGCATTTATTGTTTCAGGATCCAAGTGGTCCATGTCGAAAAATCGATCGTTTTTAATGTAACAGTTATCCACCAGTAATTGTCAACGATTTGTTGAATTTATAGAGACTCTGTTAAAAGTCCATATGAAACACATTTTACTTTGTATATGGAATGTGGCAATTGAGAATTTATTTTTATGGATTTCGAAATATTATCTAATCTTAAAAACGATTAATTCTAGAGGAAATTTTAAAACACCTTTTTAGATGGAATATTTTCCCTCTCATCTCAGGAATTAGCTCGACCTGCAGATGACGATGCAATTATTTCTCGGAATTATTATTTTTTGTTCCTGTGCATCCAACGATTTAATCTACTCCATCAGTTTCTTTTTCACCGCTTCACGGTATAAAGAAGAATTTTTTTTATTCGCCTAAGAACCGGTTTTCTTTATACAGGAGTTGAAATTCGTTGAAATGAATTATTTGTATCTCTGGTTCCAGAGGAATATTTTCTGAATGATCCTGAACTTCAAGACGAAGTGCCAGCGACGTACAAAAGCCATAAAGAGGTGTACGAAGATGCTGTTAGGAGGGCATGTATTCTCTTGAAAAAAGTACAGCAGCTCCAAGATTTGGGAAAGGGGGAGATCGATATGTACTCGTTAGTATGCACTTAAGTATTAGCATTTGTTAGCGGTCATTTGAGATATTTGCATTGCGATGGGTATTAATTGGACTGTGTACTTTGCGTGAAGAATGTGTTAATTTGAAAGGCATTGAGTTACTTTCTCTGTAATGATTTGAGACAAGTATTGATCGTAATGATTTTAGACAAGTGCTGGGGGGAATGCTGGGCTCTGGAATTTGCAAGGACGGTAATCCATTGGCTCTTCATTACGTCATGTTTATACCCGCTATCATGGGACAGGGTACCGTTGAACAACAAGGATACTGGATTTCTCGAGCATGGGCTTGCAATATTATCGGAACTTATGCACAGGTACACGACAATTGTCAATCAAGAGGAGCGCTTACTCGAGAAAAAAACAAGTTCTTCACTCCAAGGGATAAGAAAAATCGAGAGAATTTTTTTCCCTCCAGAATGTCCTTCTATTTTTCAAAATTATCCAAGATTTTCTTAACAGACATTATATTTTTCTCTGACGGTCAAGTAAAACTAGATAAAGAAAAATTAATTTTCTATGTATAATTTTTTATTAAGAATTGATGGATATATATTGGACTAGATGTGACAGTATCTGAAATTTATTCCAAGAAGGAAATATTTGAATAGTGAAGCAGGAAATGTATTCTTTCCGCTAAGAATGAGTAAATTTTTTACGGGTTTATCTCTTTTTACGAATTGAGGAGAGATTGAATTTTTTTTTCACGCAGACAGAACTTGGACATGGAACATTCATTAGGGGATTGGAAACCACCGCTGTTTATGACTTGGAGACTAAAGAATTTGTTCTCAATAGTCCAACTAGGACGTCTTACAAATGGTGGCCTGGTGGACGTACGTAGAGTTGAAGGGAAAGTTGAGGGGATTATTTTGAATTTTCACTCAATGATTCTTTACTCCTTTGTAGTGGGACAAACAGCTAATTATGCTGTTGTTGTGGCTCAACTTCATACTCAAGGAGAGTGCAGAGGAATTCATCCTTTCATTGTTCAATTGAGGGACGAAGAGACCCACGAGCCAATGCCAGGTTTTACAAAATAAAATAAAAATGCATATATTAATCCGTCATCATTTCTCCTGACGATGGAAGAAAATTATGGCACACTTGAATTATTTAATATCCATTTGTTTCCTCTAGGGATTAAAATCGGTGAAATTGGAACGAAATTAGGAATGAATGGGACAAACAATGGATTTCTCGGTTTCGAAAATGTCAGAATTCCTCGTGAACAGATGTTAATGAAGAATTCCCAAGTCCTCGAGGACGGTACATATGTTAAACCCAAGACTGATAAACTCACTTATGGAACTATGATGTTCGTTAGAGTTGTATTGGTAACGGATATTGCAAGATATTTATCCAAAGCGGTCACTATTGCCGTTAGATACAGTGCTGTCAGACGTCAGAGTCAGATAAGAACAGAGTGAGGTTCATTCATAAAACTGAATTTTATCTCGATCATTGGATGCTAATTTTTACTCATCCATTTATTTATTTTCATCAATTGCAGTCAACCCGAGTGTCAAATTATCGACTTCGTTACACAACAGTATAAATTATTTCCACATTTGGCTGCATGCCTGTCTTTTTCGCTGTCAGCTGAATGGATATGGCAGATGTATAATAGTGTATCCGCTGAATTACATCAGGGGGAGTTGGAAAGGCTTCCTGAGGTGAAATTCTCTAAATTAATCCAAATATCTCAACCAAAATTTTGCTATCGGAAATTCTTAAATTTATTGCGTATTATTGAGGATTACCTTTGCACTATAATATTGCAGTTGCACGCCCTAGCATGCTGCCTAAAAGCAGTGGCCTCATCAGACGCAGCCAATGGTGTGGAACAGCTTCGATTGGCGTGTGGTGGTCACGGCTACATGACAGCAAGTAATTTACCAGCGACTTATGGCCTGGTAACAGCAGTCTGTACTTATGAGGGTGAAAACACCGTATTATTACTGCAAACTGCTCGCTACCTGGTGAAAGCCTGGAGGCAGGCAGTCAGTGGTAATTCCCTGACCCCGACAGTGGAGTATCTCTCTTTATTATCCAGAGGAAGTAAACAGAGGCCCTGGAAGAATACCCTGACGTGCATTGTAACGGCACATCAGGCTGTCGCAGCTGGAAAGATAAAGCTTGCAACTGATAATATGGACAGAAGGATGAGGGCGGGAGAGTGCCCTGAGGATGCCTGGAATCACACGAGCATTGAATTGGCTCAGGCTGCTGAGGCACACTGTCGGGTCTTCATGGTCTCGAGGTTCGTCGAGTGGACAAAATCCAGGGAAAATATCTCCAAGGAGCTGTTGGATGTTCTCAAACAACTCTGCGAACTTTATGCCGTCTACTGGGTACTCCAACGAGTTGGGGATTTCCTCAGGTTCTCCTGCCTCAGGGCTGAGGACGTGCCAGCACTGGAGAAACGCATTCAGGAGCTTCTTGGAGATATCAGAGTCAATGCTGTGGGCATTGTCGATGGATTTGACATTAGCGATGAAGTTCTTGGCTCTGCACTCGGTGCTTATGATGGAAATGTCTATGAGAGACTGTACAAGGAGGCCATGAAGAGTCCACTCAATCAGGAGACTGTTAATAAGTCTTTTCATCTGTACTTGAAACCTCTACTCAAGAGCAATCTTTAGGGAATTTCATGGCAATTGGGATGAGGGTAGATATATCGATCTATTTTTCAAGTATTTCAGTGCAGTTTAATCCTCGTTCTTGCCAAATTTTACAATTTATCAAGTTCTCTGGAGCCAGGAGATGTTCCTTGGTGGGATCTCGATGGAAAATACTTCGTACTGCATTCCAGATTTCAGTGCAATTAATCATTGTGCCTTTGTAATTTTCCTGGGTGAAATTATATTTTTGATTGAAAATTTTTTAATAGTGTTTGGGTACTCTACGAATGCTCAGATGGAGTTTGAGGCGAAGGAACTGACTGGTGATTCATGATATTAAAATTTAGTATCGTTAAGGAGAGGAGAGAGAAGTCTACGATATTGTTGATGAGAGGATATATTTTGAATAAAATTATGCTTTAATCTTAGAACACAAGTGTTTTCATTGGAGCATTTATTTTTCGTGAGTTGGTGGATCTTACTGGGGATTCCTTACTGGAACGGATTCTCGAATTATTTTTCAGCCATTGGCCTCAGTAATTTGTCCTCACTGGAGAAACTATTAGGGTTCGCTTCTTTCCCATCGGCTTCGTTCCTCTGTACACCCACCACTGTAGATAATTATCATTACTGTAGTAATTATCGCTCTTCATGGCTATGAGATTACGGGGCATTACTATGAGCTTTAAAAATCGTTGGATATTGCCGTGAAATTTCTCAGTCATTGAAAAGCGAATGAGCGGTGAATTGACAACTCTACATATTATCTCTTCAAAAATAAAACGAACTCTTAGTAGTCCTCCCTTAATAGAAGACGAATTACTTTGAAAAGTCTGAAGGAGATACTCAGAAAAAAAAGTGCGAACCCCAGTATTAGGGTAGTCCATGTCTGAAAAAATAGAAAATGTTCGTTATTTGATTATTAAATTGGCCAATACTAAAAAATTATTTATTGAATCAACAGATTGAATTATAACGACTTTTATCAAATTGATATTGAAATACTCAACAGACCCACGTGGTAAAATAACACGTAACAATTGGTACAGGAGCTGCAAGCCAACTCCATTTTAAAATTCCATACATTGGGGTAGTTCTGTCCTGCGATGTGGCGACCTTTCGCTCTTCCTTCATACCGTTAACACCTCAAGCCCCACGAGAAAATAATCTCTAAAACCAATATTCCTTTTTCCTCTTGAAGCCCTGAGTGTTCAACTAGCATTGAAAAATCATTATCTTCGATTCTATTAAAAACTTCAATGAAAGTATTAAAAATTATTCTAAAAATTGAATCCACGCTGTTCATTCCATCACTACCATCACATCAGATCAAAACTTGTCATTCCATTTTCGTCAATCCACCCACAAGAAAAATTATCTATAGATCTTCTCCCCGTTCTATTCTGATTTTTAAAATAAATCTTTTTTTAGCCTCTCCCTCCTGATACGTTTGAAAATATCAGAAAATCGGGAAAAAACCGTTCAAAAAATATAATGAATTTTTTTGAAAAACACTTGAGCGAAAAAATCGAGGAATTTTCTGAAGAAAAAAGAACTGCACACTTTAATCTTATACAGTACAGTGTTTATTTACAGAATAGGAGCGACCACATACAATAATTGTTATCCATACTAATATAGTGCAATTATCATTAATTCATGTTCATCTGTTAATTAATAATAACGTATTATGTTTATTCATACGCGTTCGCGAGGGTACGCGAGCGCGAAAGCCTGTGTAATTACTCAATAATTTTTCTCTTTCTCTCTCTCTCTCGTAATAATCACGAGCTCTGGTATTTCCAATTAAATTTTCACGTGTAATCGTTTTGCAGATGGTTTAACCAGAATAAAACGATATATATATTTTAAAATAACGAGTAAAAGGCAAAACGAGGAAAAACATTACAACAGGGGAATAATTTTAATATTCGATTAACGGAGGCGTAAATTGTTATTTCTGTTTGAATTTTCCACTCACGGGCGAATAAGTACATATACATGTATATACGGGCTGATCCAGTGAGTGTGTGATATTAATATATACACATATATGTAGATATGCTGGGGGAAGGAAAAATATATAGATTGCTCAACGATGCAGAGGGGGAGGGATAAATGATAGTAATTAATGATAGATTTTAATAGCTATTAAATATTTGTCGTATTCTTTTATATCTTTCGCAAAAAATCATCTCATTCGTCCACCTGGTCTGCAGTATCATTTCACTATCGGAGACTTTATCATTTTTCTTCGCCTCTTATTCTCAATTGCTATAAGTATTATTGAATACACCCTCTTATAAAATATGATTTCATTATAATTATCATTTTCTTCTTAATTAAAAAGTAGACAATCGGGCTTTTTCTTTATATCAATATCTTTATGTTCATTTTCTTGAGTGATTGATGAGCTCGCGCTGGGTTTACAAATCGCTTGGAATTATTCAATGACATTCCCCGAGAGTATTTTTTCTTTCTCACTCTCTCTGGTTTACGGTGGAATTCATGATTAAGGAGGTGAATACAGAACTGCTGCGCTTGGCTGGTGGAATTGAATATATTTTTATTTTTCATTGCTGTTCTTTTTTTTCATCGATGATTTCATTTTGTCATGGTAATCGTACGTTTTTTGCCTCTTCTCTAGATTTTTCAATGTACGGAATATTGTGTACTACCTAACGATGAATTCTGCCTGTGATTCTCCCCAGTTAATTGCGATGGAGATGAAATTCGATCTGATTTGTATCGAGTTGATTGGAGATTTGTGGTGATTTGTGGAGGGATTTAGGATTTATTGAGAGGAGAGACAAAAATAGGGAGAGAATTGTCAAAAATCACATTTCCACTATTCCCTTAATATCTCAGGAACGAGTGGCGTTCAACGAAATTGTCAGATTAATCAATTCAACATTTATTTTCTCATAAATAATCGAGTTACGCACGATGCCAATAAACTTTGCGCCAATGTGCGTTTATTTGTTCAAATCATAACTGTCATGGTTACAAAAAAAAAATTCAATCGAAACGTCACATCGAGGTGTGACCCACCCGATTCCACACTAACTGCCAGGAACATGCGCAGTTAGATTTTTCGATAATAAATAATTACGTGCTCCACAGTGAAGACAAAAAAAACACTACCCTCTCGAGTTAATCACAAATGAAGGAGTTGTAACAGTGAGAAATTAGTCGTTTAGCAACGAATTCAAATGTTTCGTTAGTTCAATTTATCGTCGGAATGTAACAAATAGGTCGATGAATTGTTCAACAGGTAGAGGAATTACTTTTTTCATCACTTTAATTACAGAGTTTATCTACGATATGAGGAGGATCGATGCTGCTAAGGCGTAATCCGCGGTTTTTCTTTTATTCATGCCAAATTCATGTTTCTTAGATTAATATGGCAGTATCGGTATGATATTCATCGCTTTTAATAAATCGTTCAAATGCTCTATTGGGAAATTGTGGAACATAACTATTTCGATCTTGACAATATGTCAGACGTGATGTGACTACGTTCTACAACTTCTCACGATCTCATATCATCTGTCCTCCCATCGTATACACAATCCCCTACCCTCAAATGGTTTGCCATCTGCATAATTTCAATGACTTATCCGTGTTTTCATTGTTAAATAGCATCTGTCTCTCGATAATCGACGTATCGAATACAATGGTAGGAAAGTGTCGAATTTACAAATAGCCGTAGAATTAACGATTAAATATTAAATCCTACCAATATTTAGATACAAATGTTTGAGAAAAGTAAAATGCCACCGCTGACGCGTTTTTTTTTTTAATTTATTCCTCCATTAAATCTTCTCTATTTCATTTAATCTCTAGCTGCCAGTTTCCATATTTTCACTGAACACCAATGAGAAAGAAATACAATTATTAATTAATCAATAAAAAAGACAATCAACTCTGGTACGAGGAAAAAATCTCAATAATTCACAATTTTCATCGAATTAAACGTGCAAATAAATAATTACTGCACTCAATCGCACAATAAATAGAATAAAAAAAGGGGGGGAAAAACACGAAGAGATCTCTTGGATCAAGTATCGGTATAATTTCATGATCAATATGGCAAACGTGTGTTTCAGTCAGTCAAGACTCGTGTGCGCTAACTCCATGGGGGAAGGAGAATTAAAATTGCAGTCACTGTCTCATTCCAGCAGAAATCCTCTGCACCCCAGCACAATAATTCGTTAAATCGATTAAAAATTATTTGCAGCTGGAAAGAGACTGGACTACATTTCCCCCATTCTCTGGTCAATAATTCCTCCAGAAATCCAAGATTTATCGAGAAATTCTTTAATAGAGAATCAGGGAAATGGCGTGATACAAAAGGGATTGTTCTTGTTTTTTTTTTCAGAACGTAAAAAAAGGGAGAGAGGATTTCTGGAGAGGATTCACGACCCCCTGAAACCTCTCCTCCCTCAGTTGCTACTGTACGAAGGCGTGATGTAAAAAAAAAATTAAAAAAAAAATTACTGGAGGATTGGACGACTCACAATAAACTTCTCTCAGTCCTATACACATACACACATTATTCTTCTCCACTCGCATTTATCACTCGTTCTATGTAAAACGCATTTGGAATTGTCAGGGGTCGCAAGTCGCGGGGATCGAGGTATTTTTTTTTTCTGGTAATTGCGGGGATTTTTGTGGATTCAGTGGAGATTTTCTTTATTGGCAGAGACGAACCAGAGGGACATGTTTTAGAATGTCCTCTGGATTTATTTAGGGATTGGGAAAAACTTGCGGACAAACCCCTTTTCGACGGCTTAACGCCATTTCCACAATCAAAATTCCATCTGCAATTTTTTTAAATCCTGTTTTTGTGGTTTTTTTTTGTGTTTTTAAACGATTTTGTTGTTTTTGAATTTAATCATGTCTTGACTCGGTCAATATCGGTTTTACCGCCCTTGGCACGGACCGAAATATAATTTTTGAATTAATTTTAATCCCTTCAAGCGTAAAATTCACGATTGTGATGTGGCGCACCGGGTTTTGGGTACGACGCCGCTGCTGGGGATCTTCTTGGCTCGTCCAGGGCATACGAGCCCTCGTCCTTCTTACGCATTCTGTATACGATGAACATTACCACGAGAATAGCGCACAGTAGACCGACAACCGCTCCTCCAATGACAGCTGGAAGAAATTGTTAGTTCAAGATTAACTTTTCGGGATTTTCTTCTTTTCATTATTTATCGTATTCAACAGGAAAAAACTTTCAATATTTCCTCTAAAAATAAAAAAATCGAAGTCGATGAATGATTATTCTTTACTGCATTATGATCGGAATTCTCCCGTTCTGAAAATCTATTTTTTTCGATAGAATCTCATTTTCTGTGGAATATTCTCCCTTGTCAAGCGTGTCAAGTGTTATTTTTTCCAGAAAATTATGAAATGCTGTATTTAAAGTGCCACCTTTGGAGGTATAAATTTAAAACAGGCATCGCGGAAATGTCAATCTATTTTCACGATGACATGACCTCTGAAAATAATAACCAACGAGATAATTACCGGCTAGAACGCCTGGTTGTGCGAAGAACGAGCTCGCACGATCCTCGTGCTTGGGATTCATGATTAACACCTCGTGCGGGTCGTCTGGGTCCTCCTCACCCTCTGGCTCGTCCTCTCGAGCAGGTGCTAGGTCTACTTCGTTATCTGGTCTCTTGGGGGCAAGATCCTGTAATGGAAAATTCACACGTTCAAGTCCATATCGTGAATTAATATTTTAATTTACCAGTGGTGAATTTTTCAATTGAATCTTCATTACCTCGGTGACGTGCTTCGTGTCGTGGGGATCCTCGACGTAGGGAGTATTTGGCTCGGCTGGTTTCTGCTCCGGCAATATCCTTCTGTTGATATTATTGAAATCTGTCGAGAGAAAAATTTTCTTCGTAAACTCTGGGTGGATTTCGTAATCGGAAATTTTCATCTGGATTTGGGTTTCAAATATTCCTGTAGATTCTCCTCCAATGGTTATGAAAAAAATCATCATAAAAAAGAGGAAAAATTTTCTCTTCCCCCCGCAATAAAATTCAGCGGCGTAATTGCTTATTGAAATGAAAAAAAAAATAAATGATCCAACGTAAAGGCAAAAAGATGCGTAAAAACAGTAATTTATACTGAACTCTGTATAATTCCTCTCAGATTTCCCAGTAAAAATTCCTGAACAGCCATTATCCGCTGCAAGTGAGGGTAATTTCGGAAGTAAAAATTTCTCACTAGTCATTAAAGACAGTAAGGATTTCCGCATATGCGCCTTAATCTCCCGAAAACCAGGAATCATTCAGTAAAATAATTTACCACGTTTAGCAGCATTAATTTCCGAGACTGAAAACGCATGTAATTAACGTGGAGATGAGCTGATACAGAGACACGGTGTGGTAGTATTGGTAAAGTGCAATAACCGTGCAATTTGTGACGCTTCCGCGTGCAGAGATCCGGGTGGAACGTCCATCAAGCCACTGGATGACGCTTCATCGTCATTGGGCATTACCAATTCTATGCCTTCCATCGATATAACCCCCGATATGGAGGAATATTGACGGTACAAAATGCGAGCGAGTGTGTGAGAGAATCGAAATGAATTTCCGATAACTGGGACTGAGAAATTTGTGAATACCGTTGAACTAGGCCGTGGTGACACATGCGATTTATATTCCGACATTTTTTTTTTTTCGATGAAAATTTCCGCTGGACGTTGTACCCGGGAAATTGATACGACACGTTGGTTTGTATATGGGAATGGACCATTTGCGAGGAATGACCAATGACTAGGGGTTTTTATTGGTTTCTCCGTGGGGATGGGGTGAAGAATCCGTGGGAACGATTTTTGAAATTTTTTGAGAATTTTTGGGAATTTTTGGAAATTCTTGGGACTGGGGAAATTACCTCGATCACCGTCGCCGTCTTCGTCGTCGGGACCTAGACCACTGCCCGATGCCTCGAGGTCGTCTCTCACTTCACCACCACCTCGACCAGAGCCTTCCAAGGCTTCCTGATCGTCTAGGTAGAGATCGTCCGGAAATGAATTATAGTTTGCGTTACCCGTTGATCGCTCCTTCCCACTTTGCTCCTTCTGCAAAAATTTTTTTAAAATTAATGAAGTTGAGAATTCCGAGGAAATTTCGAGGAAATTTTTTGGGAATGGGTAGCAAAATATTTGGCGATATCAAACCGAATTTCTGATTGATTATCCCCATCTTCAATTAATTGAAAAAAAAAATAAGATTCAATCAATAAAAAAAAATCAAGGGTATAGCTTGAATTTTCCCGATGTGATCAATTTCCCTGGAATAAACGATCAAAAGCTTTCAATTTCCTCTCATTTTCTCCCCAAATATTAAATGTCAAGGAAAATTTCGGAAAGCTACGGTTTCCGATCTAATATTCTAATGCTCCTTCATGGTGAATTATTGCATCACTTATAACCAGCAACATCTCTCGACAGCAATAACTCCAAAATACTTCACATCGACTCCATCAAAATGTCAATAACTCCGCAAAATGCTCATCCATACATTCACAACAGCCCAACAGATTGGCGAATAAAACTGCCCGCTCCAATCAAAAGTATTCAAAGTATTCGGGAGTGAAGCACCAAATGGAAAATTCCTCGAGGATAATTCCCCCAAATCCGGGGCAAAGGTGTCACCATGAATCATTTACCAATGAAATTCCCCCAAAGCAAACATCGAAATGATGCCGAGACAATATTTCACCACAGATTCATCATTTTCCGAGTCCAATAATCGCATAATGCCCACAGTATTAATCAATATGCACTTAATGGCTGCAATAATCATTAATGTGTCTCGATGGTAACAATTACTAGGCAAAGAGGGGGCAATGTACCGAGGAAAGTGCTCTCTCATTTGCAGACAATTTTGAGTGGTGGAGAAAAAAAAATGCAACTGCATTATTCAAAGTCCGTTGAGGGAACCACCAGACACAGAGAAATAGTAGACTCTTTACCCTCCCCCTCGAGTGGCCATCGTATGAAATATTAAACGTTACGTAACAATTAGAAAGTTGGAATTTCATGAGTACGACGGGAATTTGTCAATCCCTTTCCACTTGAATATTAATTTCTGTCAAGTTATAATCACTTGTGAATGGTGTGTACCTTTATCATTATGAGTTCAGTCATTACTACCCCCAATACCTCAGTACAATAAAATTGTACAAATGGTACGAATCCCTAATATAATGATAATGCCAGTTTCACTCGAGAGTATTCAAAATATAAATAAAAATAATCCTTCAAATTAAAAAATACAAAATTAAAGGAAATTGAGTCAGATCTTGCATTCTCCTCGGCGAGATCAATATTTCTGGTTTAAATCATGGAAAAGTGGACAGATGAATAATAAAATCCATTACTCAGGGCAATAACTCGCTCTTTCCATAAACAACATAATCCATCACCACAAAATCACCGCCGATATGAACTTGTCGGCCGTAAGCCTTTTATTAAAAGATTCATGTGTTTTCTCCATTCGTCGTTGGCTATCTTTACCATGAAAAAACGGTTTTCCAGCGGAAGTGAATTATGAATGGGTTATACTGCGGGCTTTTGCCTGAGTAAAGCCTCGAGTAAAGGATGATTTTACGGGCGACCGAGTCGATGGTGGAATCCTCCCCGTGGATTTATCGGTCCTGGGTATTGTCGAGGTTTATCGAGAGGAAACTCCGAGATGAAGGCGATATAAGAAAACTAACTGGAAAGTAAAAAAACATGGAAATTGTTATAAATAAGAAAAATCCACGTGGTGTGGAACCGAAGGTGCAGATCCGTGGGTTTACGACGGAGTGGATTGAACTTGTGGGAATAGAGTTTAAGGAGGCTGAATGTAAAATGGCTATTTGTCGGGGGACTTGGAATGGGTATTGCCAGTGGACAATGCCCACGTTGCCCCATGTGTATTTACTTCTCCATACATATCCACAACAGTCCTGTAGCTATTGAAAAATAACAAACCGTCAAGACAATGCATAAATGAAAAGACCCCGGGGGTTAGACCCAATAATATACTATTCGACATCTGCACTAGCCATTAAATGGGGTGACAGGACAATGTTTTAAGTTTTTGACCTAATTTCATGCGGAGATCTTGTTGAAAATCGAGTTTCAGAGAAACGACCTGATGATGCATTTTTTTAATTGAATCTAATTTACCGGAAATTCAGGAGTATTAATTAATTAATTAGGGATTTAACCGTGATTATTTATAATATCGACATTGACGTCTAAAATGATGGAAACATAAATAATTACATGAAAAAGTCGCGGGATTTTCATTTTTTATCGACAATAAAAATGAAAACCGGGCAATAAACGCCTCCGGTTTTTTAACATCCATAAGTAAAAAATAAATTCATTAACAGAATAGTAAATTTTTGTTTGTCCCGGATTCAGTGGAAAAGGGTGTACCTTCCACGTGGGAACAATAATTCCATTTATTAACAACCCAGTGAGTTACAAAAATCATAAAAAAAAGTGGACAGGTGTCGCTATGGACCCCCATCTCAAACCGGAATAATTTCAATGAGCCACCCCTACCCCATCCCCACAATTTAATTACGATAAACGATGTTGTTAACAGGGTGAGGTTTTTTTTCCCGCATTGTGGGTGTAAAAATCTCGATATCGAACTGACCTGCGTGATTCGATGCGCTCTGGCAATTAACAGGGCACACCCCCTTGAAAATTCACCCCCACGAGAATCAACCCCTCTATTTAACGGCAAATCACGTAATCACCGGATTATTGGAAAATATTTCGCTATTTTACCCAATTTCTCGGGATAAATTGATGATAAACAATAATGCAGGGGTTGGAATGCGCGCGCGCGCTTATCGACGCAGCATTTGCCAAACAATCTCCAACGATTCCAAAGAAAATCCAGTGATAAGGAAAAATCAATACACAATTTTTATCCAAATAAAAAAAAGAAAAAAGCACCACCCGGAGGGGCACTGAATAAAATAATGGACAAGTGGTAAAAGTAAGATTGCGGTGGAAAACAGATGGAAAAGCTTCTCTTACCTCCGGTGAATGAGAAAGAGTGGATTTCTATCAACAAAAAGACCAACTCGAACGTTTCTTTTGCCTCGATGATATGTTGATAATGAAACCGGGACAGTCTTTTTTTTTTTTCTCTTTCTCACAGACTATTTTTGCAAACTCTAGTCTCTTTTGTCACAGATATGCAAGGTCAGAGTGATTTTGTATTGTTGCACTGAGCGGGGAATACAGTGATATCTGGGCGAGACGACGGGATCCTCCGGCGAAGGTGCTACGAGCTTTTAGGACAGGGGGTGACTGCACCGGGTAGTTATATTTTCAACCGCCAGGGGGCAACACTAATATAACAGTGGTGAGAGATCTACCCGGTCCTCTTTTACCCCCAGTGGATTTCCCAGGGTGGGTGCCTCCAGGGCCGTCAAAAAAATGGGCGCACAATTTTTTATATATGTACAACCAATTGTTCAACCGTCACCTACACCGGAGAAACGAGACATTCGGATTTTTTTTTTTGAGACACAATCGGACGATTTGTTGGGGGCGTTCGAAAAGGTGCGTCTTGGGATTCGTTTTTTAATTTTTCCTTTTTTTTCATTATCTGTCAGGATTTCGAAGAAATTGATGGAATGTAGAAAAATCTGGATAATTTCGGTGTGAATATTCATGTTTCAGTGAAAATTAAAAGAATCACACCCCAGAAATTTCCTGTCACTTTACCGGTGTTGAAAGTTTCCAGTTGTTACTCCAACCTTCAATTATAATTTCCCGACAATGAACACCAATTCAATTGAATTGCAATCGAAACGACTCATGAGCAATGAAAAATTTCAAGTCCGAATTTTCTGGGTTCATTAAAAAATTGTTCTCTCAGTACCGACTGGACATTTAGTACATTTTTCCATAATTCCCGTAGCTGTTCCAATGAAATTAAAATTAAAATGAAATTCATCAACACCTGTCAAGCCAAATACGACACGCCGAATCGGTCGCAACTCCACAATTACCAGGAGATAAATCATCTTGATTATACGATCTGTCCCCACAGCTTCTAGGAAAGACTCGTTCCGTAAATATGAAAACCCAGAGTCGAGGGAATACCCACGTAGGATGCAGATACATCCGTTATATACCCAGTATGTAATCCCCACATTGATGGTCCCAGTCGTATTTCAATGGAATCGGTCTATCGCATCGCATTCGAATCAAGAATATATCCATCGGATTCGCTGACACCCACCGGATATTTCACAATTTGCGTAATGGTTTCCCAGTGCCCTGAACAGATTGAAAAATCCTTTAATGGAATTTAATCTGAAAAAATAACATATATTCAAGTTCACAGGAATTATTTCCGCATCCTAGAACTTCATATCCCTTTACTGTTAATGCAAATTCCATTTGCAGACACAATTTCATATTTACTCGATAAAATGTTCTAGATTATTTGGAGCATAAAGTCTATTGTTTCCGCGAGGTGAGAATGACGAATGTCGTTATTAATTCTGTTGTTGGTTTTTTTTTTTAATTTCTTCCAGGACAATAGCTCTTGAAGTGATTACTCTCGTATTTGTTTCTCCTCTTATTATTCTGATACTCATGGGCTGGTGAAAGCCACAAATCCCCAGGAGATGTCCTCGGCCTCCAGCAACTGCCAATGGCTTCCTCAAGTGTCTAATGGATTCCCTCACTGAGAGGAAAAACTCATTTCGATAAGGAAGATTTATTTGATGCAGGAAAATATTCTGTCAATTGGGAAAATCCTCGAATCGACTGATGAATCAATTTGCTGTCACATCGAGAGGGGAAAAAAAATTATCTTTTATCTAGAGTTGAACTGATTGTGAGAATTCGGTTTCCGGATTTAAGTTAGAAAATTGGTCTTCTCATTGGACTATCTTAATCAGTGATTCAATTGAATTAAATTTTAAAAAGTTATTATATATCATTATTATATGATAAATCCTTTTTGAAATAATTCGTGCACTCCGATATTGATTGTCAAGAGGAGTTTTTCGGCCGTTAAAGGAGAAGAGAATGTCATCTAGGGTCCA